TACCATTTTAAATCCTATGTGGACGCCTTAAGAAGCATTTAGCTTCAACTTTTATTAGTATATATATAAGATTCTAGTATGTAGAAAAAAAAACGTACATGTAAAGGGTGGGATGATATTCTACAAATGTGTTTAAGAATTTAATTTAACTATAAAATACAGCTTAATTAATCTTTAATATATATATATATATATATCACAGCTTAATTTATCGTTAAATACATTAATGAAAGAGATATTATTTATTATAGCATGTAATATAAACAACAACTTTATAACAACAATTATAAAAACATGAAAACCTTTGCATAAAAATATACACAATACCTTATATGATATTAAAATAGAAGAAATTATAATGAGATATTCTTGTTGACAAAAAAAAAAGAAAGTGGATTACCTTTTTGTTGTTGTGAGACGTGAGAGAGAGAGAGTTTAGAAACTGTTTTTTTCTTTACTTTGCTTGTGTTTGTAGGAAGAAATAGTCTTAGAGTAGCTATAATTAAATTATTATTATCCACCGCGGATTTGCATTGGACAGCTGGATAAACAGAGCTGTTGTATAAAAATGCGGTCCATGTAAATTATCAGTATTGAAATCCGCAAAAGTTATTTCTTTTATTTTTTAAAAAAAAACGTAAATAGTTAATAACTTTAAGTGATTGGGTAACATATTACGTTTTTTACTCTTTTCTTTTGAAAATCGCACTTATTAAGTTACCATTCATACACTAAGAATCGAACACACAAATTCTATAGTTCATACAATCATTTTTTTATCTTCGTAGGCAGTCCATGCCACTTGTATGCTACCCAAAAAAATTCGACTCCAGACCTTATCAATCCAGCATTTATCTTCTCCAAAGCTACATCTTAACCTCTACTATACAAGGTGAGTCTTCAATGAGTTATCAGCAAATACTAAAGCAAGTCAACATATAATTAAATCAAAATTCAAACTAACAATTTATGACTTACTAAAGAGTCTAAGCTTTGTTATGTCATTGGCTTCACTTCACCTCCCTTCAAAAGGGGTATGATATCCTTTGATGTAATAGACAAAGGCTAAAATGTTATTCACTTGAAACCAGCAAAATTTTCATAAGTAATAACTTGCTTACGTCTTTACAAAAGCAGTGATGGAATATGCAACCAGTGAAAAGAAAACCAACTGATTCACTTTTCATTTTATAACGATATTTCACCTCTTACAAAATACAAAGTCACCATGGTAAGCCTGTATTAATAATTTGCATCTGATAAATAGAATATAACTGAATTCAGAGCTAGAATATAACTGAATTCAGAGCTACATTCCAGCCGAAGAAAGCATGGTAATCTAAGCTAAAATGAGGTGACAAGCAAAGACTAAACATTAGCCAGAAATGCTATTCCGTATTCATATTCTTTTTCAAGATTTATTTACTGTTTTCTCAGTATCTTTTAGTGAAACTTCAACCCCTATTCTAAAACCATGATAAAACTATATATTAGCTCCAAGTCTATGGAATACACTGAAAATTACAACCTTCAAGCCTACTGGAATAAGAAAGATATATTATCCATGTAATAATCGCATTCAAAAAAGTTCCTACCATCACCACATGCCTCCTTAAATTCCTTAGTCATGGGGATCAGTATTGTCCAAAAAACCATAATCAATCAAACTTGTCTTACAAAAAGTTTTTTTTTTTTTGTCACTTCAACCCTATAATACATAAAGAAACAACAAAAATACTAACGTTAGTGTACTAAAAAGATAACAGAGGCTTTCGGAAGATGAGCTGACGGTTTAGTTTGTCATAGTGTTAATTGAGTCTAATGTACACACCTTGTTTTGAGTGAGTGATCAAAATTTTATTCTCTTACACACCATGTTGGTCACACTTTTGAGAGTTGAACCAAATAAGTAAAAGACTTCATCCTGATTTCTCAAGAACCTTGTGATGATCCTTTAACGTTTGCAAAATTTATCTATTTTTACTAAAGTTCGAGTACAGAAATTGAAGCCAAATGAAAACAACATAAAGTAAAAGTACATTTAGAATTTATAGAAGCCTTGAACACATAAATAACAAACACGTTTCGTTTGCCCTCAAAGTAGTCTCTTCCATCTTCAAGCTTTCAGTACTCGATAATTAGCTATGGTTATAATCAAAATACTTCATCAAGATGACCAACAACAAAATGTACATTTGAATCAGAGACTACACAGAGATTCAGAAGGGAAGCTTGTTTCATGAACAAAAGTCAACAATCGATGTTTTAAAGTTTAATTCACTTTCGCTGTCGTCTGCCTCTGTGTCGAGATAATATCCATCACTGGTCTTTGATTTCTTTGTATACAACCAACCAGAAAACAATATTTAGTGAAAACTGGACTAAAAAAAAAGAAAAGAAGTTAAGAAATCTGCTGAAGAGATCATTGAGAGGGACATGAGTGACCATTTTTGGGACGTAGATATTGTTGTCATAGATAGAAAATTAATTTATGTTGACCTAATTAAAGAAACAAAGAAGAAGAGTCGTAGTGTGATATATGAGTGGTAGTTATTAGTTTTTCCTATTAATTATTGACATGTTAAAAAAATGGTGAGATGTCAAATTTTTGGAGACTGATGTATTTGAAGGAGGGGAGCAGATGTTTCAAATTTGTGAGACACAACGCACTCTTTATATAATAGATTTTTAGTTCTCGAGTGTAGGATACATTGATTTCTATCTACTAGTAGTTCAGAACTTCAGCTTGCTTGTTAGTCTCATAGAGAGTCTCCTCTGTTTGTGGTGAAGTTGTAGACAACATGTTTTTTAGGTTTTGAGGATGAGCCTGGTACACAGATCTTGTGGCAACATCAACAACATTATAGGCATCAGAGCTACCCCATACCACAGTTGAGCCATGGGATTTGATGGCGGACTTAAAAAGCCATCTACAAACGCTTACGCCCAATCATTCCGGATAACGCTTGCATCCTCTGTATTACCGTGGCTGCTGCTACCCCATACCACAATGCGTTCCTCGTGCAGTCCTGTTTTAGTTCTTTTTCAGGTTGTATAATTGGATTGTCTTTTCTAGTCTTACATGTTGTTTCTCTTTGTTCTAATTTATTTCAGTTATTTTTAGTTTTTTCCAATTTTTGTTTATTCTTATAATTCTGTCAAAAATTGAAAAACGGTAATATAATCTTAACATTTTTTACCAAAAAAATAATCTAATAAAAAAATGGTACTGTCGGAATTGTGCCAAGGTTAAAACTGTTCCAAGCCTATGATATTTTAGTCTCAATATTATATATATATATATATATATATATATAAATTTTGCTCTAAATTATTTTTTTTTTACTTTTTGAAAGTATTGAGTAAGAGGAATTAAAGAAATAAAAAGTAATGATAATAGTTATAAAAAAAATAGATTTTTTTTACTAATGTTTTACTTTCCTCTATGTAGAGGAATAGATTCTAGTGGAATTAGGCTTATTCACAATACTTTAGAAGCCCAATATAATTTAAAATGCTAACTTGAATAGTTGATGTCATCAATTTTATCTTTCTAATGTGTCAACATTTTGCATCAGACATACATACAAAACAAGAACAACAAACAAAAAATAATAATTATATTTGTATATATATTATTCTAAACAAATATAATATAAAAGAGGTTAGAAATATAATGTTAAAAAAATTCAAATATAGGAAATGTTTTTTTTTTTACTTTTAGATAAGTCCAAAACTTTTTTTACACCCAAAGGCCCTGAAAAATTTTGAGCCGGCATTAGGTTAAGAGAAATAGGAAAATGCCAATGAGTATATAAACTTCCATTTAAGATGTTGCCATGGAGCTATGGATGAGCTATGGATTGTCTAACCCTTGATTTATTTTTGAGCTCTTTTCTTAGTTAATTGAGCTTGAGTTAGAACTAATCTCATCCACCAATAAAGAAAAGAAAAAGTCATTAATTCATTCAATTAAAATCAAACACAATGAGGCCTCCGAAACTAAAAATTTGATGCTAAAGGTCTCAAAACATTTGCTAAATATATACCTTTTTATCATGATACAAATTACTGAGCAACAAAGGCACAAAAGACACAAAAAGTCATATCTTATTTGGACTATATGATTTTGTATGGACCTTGGACAGATCCATTCAGACACAAGTTGAATCTCTTCTTATCTTTTCTTGTATTTGTCATGTGTATTGATTTTTTTAATGATCCTCTTTTTTTTTTTTTGAAAAATTCTAAATTCGAATTTTCTTTATTTCCATCTCGATTTTCAGAAACTGTTTTATAGTTATAGTATGTTCGAACGTGGAATTCATCATCCTTTCTAATTTTGTCTTTTCCATTCACTCGGATTTCTTCCATTTCATTTATATTTGGATGCAACCACCTTTGACGACAAAAAGAAAGTATCATCAAAGTGATGATGGTCTAGTGGTAGTATAAGAGAGTTGGTTTTCCTCTTGCCGGTGGTTCACACCCCCTTTAGGACAAAAGATTAATTTTACTCTTACATCAGAATATCTAAAGATTTTCCTGGTTCGGAGGAGAAAAACCCAAAACACCTACGATTCATAAAAAAAATGTCTGATTGGATGTCCATTTGAATGGGATAAGCCCACTAAATAGCCTCTATTCACATCGCCCACAATGATGACAATCAGACAAGGTAATCCACAGTTGTGTCATGTAACCAAAGTGAGAATCTTGGTTTTTTTATTTCTCTGGCACAAAAGGTACAAACTATATCTGAATTGAAAACTGAGACATATTATTGTCTATTGAGAATAAACCGGACATATAATAAAACCGACCTGAAATTCCTCCGGACCAAACCTGAATTTCTCTGAACATAACGAAAGCCACGTTGGTTACGTCATGCTATGCCTCTATAACTCTACCTCTCTAGACTATATTTTTTACTCTGTCTCTCTCTCGGTCCTTAAAAGAAACTTCGAAACACTAACTCATCCTCGCAGTTCCTTTTGTCTCTTTGTCTCCTTAATTCCCTCTCCGATTTATTGCTTTTCTATTTTAGTTTCAGCTGAAAATCATACATAACGTAAAAGGAGAAAAAAACCCTTTTCTTCCTGGGATCTATAAAACTGATATATCATCCACTTTCCCTGATTTCACTCTAAAAATCTCTTCTTTGAGATGATAGTAATTTCACTTTTCTTTTTTAAGGAAAAAAATAAGGGAGATATTATCGTTTCTTTGATTTACTCTCTTTCGGGTGGGAAGTAGTTTTCCAGAAGATTATTAGAGAGGAAGAAGCACAAAAAATTACAAGTAGCTTCGATTAAAATCAGGAAACTGTTTGTTTTCAATTTTGGTGAAACAGAAAGTATTTATATTTTAATTTTGTACTTTTAAATCGTTTTGGATTTTCTTCCGTCTTTGGTTGATTTTAGCTGTAAAGGGCCACACACCAATGCCCACAAAATGCCCCTTCTTGACGTCTCTTCTCTCTCTCTGTGACTTTTGATTTGAATGATTTGAAAAACAATTAATTAATTTTCCTTCTTCTTAGAATTCGCTTTTTGTCTGAAAGTTTTGATGGAGTTGTAGTGGTGTTCCTTTTCTCTTCAGTTTATTATTATTCTCTTCTTTGGCTCCGTGGAGAAATTTCTGGGGTTTGGTGGGTTTCTTTCTTTTAAATTTCCCTGTGAGATGTGAAAATTTTCATTTTTGATAATTTGGGTCTTCTCTCTCAGAGGCATGTCACCTGCAGCCAAAGTCTCTGACTTTCACAGAGAAGGGAATGACTGGTAAATCTCTCTGTCTGCATGTTTTTGTTTTGTTGAAAACAATTTCAGTTCATGGGTTTTGTCTAGAACTGATTTAATTGTCCAATTTTATGGTTTTGGTAGCTCCAAGACCTTAAAGTTTGCAGGTTTTTTTCATTTCTGCACTTGCCAAATTATTTCAAAGATGTTCAGAAAGAGAGAATGCCTTAAACACAATTTGGCTTGTCATATATGGGGAATTTTGGATTATTGGGCTGGATAACAAATGGAGATAGATTGCCTGATACATTACTCATATCTCCATCGTTGAATAGATAGTGCATAAGGTGGAATTTCCCCTAGAAATTTGTTCTTAGATTATTTTAAAGAGAGGTGGATATTTAATTTTGCAGGTTTTGCAAAACAGGACTGTCAAGTGATATCACTGTTGTTGTTGATGATGTGAAGTTCCATCTTCATAAGGTATAGCTTCTTGCTTTTTCTTTGTTCTTTGATTCTTTGCTTTCATCCTGAGTTTGGTATCATCTTTTTCTTTTTATGTAAGTATGTGTTTGATAGTTGAGACAGAGAATTTGTGTGAATCTCTTTGAAAGAACCATGAAAATTAGTATCATAGGAACAATGCTGGAACATAAGTGGTCAAGGCATCATTTCGTGGAGGATTTTGGGATATCTGAAAAGGATAAGTCTACTTGTTCACTTGTTCCCATTAGTTTACTTAGATCGTGTTAAGTTACATAGATCATCTACTACTTATTCAGTTATTTGTATTGCCTTTCTTATGGTTATGTAAGCTTACGATGTTTTAGTAAAGACCTAGCAACGCTTTTAGAAGAACGACGAGGGTTTATTTATGAGTGTATTTGCAGTTTCCGCTGGTGTCAAAATGTGGAAAGCTAGCACGGATGTATGAAGATTCTGAAAGCTCCAATAAGAAGTCTCTTTGGACAACAGTTCTTGAAGAGTTCCCAGGTGGTGCAGATACTTTCCTGATAGCTGCTAGATTCTGTTACGGGACTCGCGTAGATTTCACCTCAAAGAACATAGTTCCCATACACTGTGCAGCTGAGTACCTCGAGATGACATATGAATACGGAGAAGATAACTTGATTTACCAAGCCGAAACATTTTTACACAAGCACGTGCTTCGCAATTGGAAAGAGTGTATCTTGGCCTTACAAAGCTCAAATCCGGTGTTGAAGACTGCAGAAAAGCTTCAGACAATACCAAAACTCATGAACGCTGTGTCCACGATGGTGTGTACTGACCCTAGTTTGTTTGGATGGCCCATGATGATGTATGGTACATTGCAGAGTCCTGGTGGAAGCATTCTATGGAACGGAATACACACGGGAGCGAGAATGAGAAGCTCGGGTTCGGATTGGTGGTACGAAGATATCTCTTATCTAAGTGTAGATTTGTTTAGAAGGCTCATCAAGACGATGGAAACAAAAGGTATACGTGCTGAAAGTTTAGCCGGTGCTATGATGTATTATGCGAGAAAGTACTTGCCTGGTTTGGGACGGTGGCAGAGCGGAACAAGTGGGAGAAGTAAAAGCAGAAGAAGTGTTGTGAGTTTTAGTTTGGCACCAGCGTCTTCGTCCTCCTCTATGTCTCCTGTTGATCAGATTGTTCTGCTTGAAACCATTCTAAGTCTTCTACCTGAAAAGAGAGGAAGATCATACTGCAAGTTCTTGTTAGGTCTCCTTCGTGTTGCCTTCATTTTGGGAGTTGATGGGAGTTGCGTACAGAAATTGGAGAGAAGGATAGGGATGCAGTTGGAGCTTGCAACGCTCGAGAATCTTCTGATTCTTAACTATTCTGATTCAGAGACGCTTTATAATGTAGATTGCGTAGAACGAATGATCCGCCATTTTGTGTCATCATCATCTTCCTCACAGTTACCTGACTTCTCTCCTCCATCATTGGATCCAGAGATGTCTCCTTCCTCTTCAGCACCCTTGAGAAAAGTGGCTAAGCTGGTCGATAGCTACATGGCAGAGGTTGCTTCCGATGTGAATCTTAAACCGGATAAGATGAGGTCTCTTGCAGCAGCTCTTCCAGAGTCTTCAAGACCCTTATATGATGGTCTATACAGAGCATTTGATATCTACTTTAAGGTTGGATCATGTTCTTGTCATGTTTTTCTTCAAAAGGTCCAATAATTTAATGTGAATCTTGAACTTTTCAGGAGCATCCATGGCTATCAGATAAAGACAAGGAACAACTCTGCAACATCATGGACTATCAAAGACTCTCCATAGAAGCTTGTGCTCATGCTTCCCATAACGATAGGTTACCGCTCAGAGTTGTTCTTCAAGTCCTCTTCTTCGAGCAAATGCATCTCAGAACCGCTCTTGCAAGCGGTCTCAATGTTGCAAACACCGAAACAGCTCATGCACTGACCGTTCCAGGCAGGGAAACAGGACAGCAGATAGTTCAGAGAGATGGGTGGGTGACCGTTGTGCGCCAAAACCAGGTTTTAAAAGTTAATATGCAGAAAATGAGGTCACGGGTCGGAGAACTGGAAGAGGAGTTTCAGAGTATTAAGCAGGAGATCATGAAGAAGAGAGTGAATAAGTCCTCTAGCTCCATGAGCTCACCTCGTCTGGTCAAGATGGGCTGCAAGTTTCTTCTTCCACGACCCTCTGATGCCAAGAATGATACAGTCCAGAGCTCGTTGGCTAGCACTCCTAGATCTTCTGCCGCTGACCACGTGCTGCCTCGCTCTTCCCGCCATTCCAAACACCGGAAAAGCTTCTCCTTTTTCGGATGAATCTCCCTCCAAAAACGTTTATCAGCTCATCTCCTCTCATAACCCAACACAAAGAAAGTTCCTTTTTCTTTTTCTCAGACTTTCCTTCCAGAAAGTTTCTCTCTCTTCCCGGGAAACCCAACAGAAAAGCTGCTTCTCTTCATTGCCGATAATCCCAACATAAATTTTTTCCCTTTTCCTGTGAAAACCAACAGAAAAAGGGTTGCTTCGTTTCAAGAACAAAAGCTGGTCACTTGAAGTTGGGTCTCTTTCAGTTCAGCAAAGCGTTCTGTGTTCTTTATCACTCTTTGGTTAAGAGTATTTGCCGCGGTTTTTCTCACAAGGTAAAAGCTTCGAAGACTCTTACCATCAAAGTTGATAGGGTTTTTGGAAAAGACATAATTTTTGTGATCTTGGTGACGTGGTGGTTTTTGGGATATGGATATACGGTGAAAGTAAATAACTAGAGTTAGGATCTATAGAGCAAAGAGGGTATAAATCTTGTTTGATTTTATATGATTCTGTTAAAATCGTTTATAGATGTGTTGTTGTGGCTATTTATGTGTAAATCTTGCTTCGTTACCTCGTTCAACAAGCAGGTTGCTGCTCTGTCAATAATATAGGATACTTTTTACTGTTCAGATGCTTTGAAATGTTTGATAAAGGAATTAAGCTACTCAAAAAAACTTCTCATGGTTTGGCCTGAATCTTATGAGAGATGCACATTTGTCCTTGTCGGGTCCGATATACATTCTGCATTCGGTTTGATTGAGATCCAGTTCAGCTTATCTTACCACCTTAACTTTGTTCAGTTTGAATGTTTGATTATTGATTCTTTTATCTTCAACCTCTATGATATTTTCTTTTGAGTTCAAAGAAGTGATTAAACTTAAAAGCTTTGATCTTTACCTTTTTTTTTTCTTATATTGTCAATTAGATTGTCTTATATACTCTCAATAGGGAAACTGGATCTTACCGTATGTTTTCTTTCCTTTTTTCCTAATTTCTCTTCAAAATTGTAACGTGAAGGTGAAGCAAGTTTGATCATATACAAAGTTTAATCGTTTTCTGAAAACGAGAAAAGGAAATCTTGAAAAAAATATCCATTCATTAGCCTCATCCATAAACAAAAGAGAACCTCAAAATTCGCAGACCAGCAAAAAGGACTCATAACTGAACCTTGTGATATGGGGCATGGTGAAGAAGTTGCGGATCTTGTAAGCCTTAAAGTTTTGACCTTTTGGCTTTGTATACTGTTATGAATTCTCTCTCTCAAACATGGCAACTAGATCTAACTCTCTCCGAGGTCTTTGTTAAGGCAAATTTTGAGCTTTGTCTAGTTTGTCTGAAATGCTCCTAGTTTTCGAAAGTGTTGTACTTTGCTTCATACTAGTTGGTTCCAGTTTTTTACAAAGGATTGCATAGTTTCAGGTACCACAAGGGAAAGGGTCTGTCTCTAATCCGAGTTGTGTGGCTTCATTGAATTGTCTTCCAGATTAGCTTCTTGTCCAACTTTTGTCCTTTTTTCCTTATTAAAGAAGCTGTTGTGTTCTCTCCAAAATGTGGAGGACTCTATTTGCTGTTCCGCATGATCTAGATTTTGACGATTCCATCTATTGGTATCCGGAAGAAGGTAAACGGGACAAGGACGACATTCGAAAGAGTTTCAGGGATTTCGTGGATAGAATATTGGCTTTGCAAGGTGGTGACCCTAAGTTCTCACTAAAATGTGAAGATGGAGATGATGTAGCTCATGTTGACCGCTGAATAGGTAAATGTTGGACCGATTTTTACCTAAGCCATTTGGGCTTAGTTAAATCAAAGTGTGTGAAGAGAAATGAATTGGCTTAGCTCAAGTAGGAGCTCCGGTGGGTTGTCGGGTCGGGTTAAAAGAAGAAATCAAGCTCGATCTTGTGCTCCCGTGAGACTCGGTCTCCTCTATTTTCACAATTTCCTGATAATCAGCTTCATGGAGAGATCGTTGCAGAAGATCTCGAAGCCCACCTCCCTAGATTTGCGTGTTGATTTCAAATCAAAGCTATCCATAAATCTCTACATCAACACAAATAGGGATGTTGTCTTCTTCACCGAGAAACACACAAACTTCAAAACTAAAAACTCCAGCAATCTCTCTTTGTTTTTAATTAAGTGTTTTGAGAGTATCGTAAAAGTTAAGTTCGTATATAATCCGTGTTTTCTAGTGCTTGTAAAAACAGATTAAAGTGACTGTATCCTGCGGCTCTTCAATGGGAGAATCTCATCGCACTGCGGGTGATTCAAGAGTTACGGAAAGAGATTTTGATAGGTGTGAGAAGCCTTTGAAAGTATATGAGAGGCAAAGGTGGAAGAGTCAGAAAAGAAATTGAAGTGTGAACACTCACGAGCGTGTGGAAGAGAGTAGAATTTCACTGTTTAGTATAAATAGCTAATTGTGTTTAGTGATTTGGATTATGTGTTGATTGTGTGTGTACATGAGCTTGATTATCTTTCTGTTAAAATCTTTATGAGGTTGTTTGTAGAAAGATAAGATACACAGTTCTTCACTTCCTCTTGTAATTCTCTTTTCAATACCAATACAAGGAAATTCAGAGTGAAATATCGAGTGAAAGCTAGCTAAGTTCTATCAAAATGGTGCGTCGTGACAAGATGATGCCGCAAAGATGACGATTACCGATCAAGCGAAGACGACGATGGAGGAATTTCATTGGTGAGAGAAGAATTGAAATTTCTCCATGGTGGATTTACAAGACTATGCAATGCGATAACTACAGCTGAAAATCGCATGGCGGAGCTAGATGCAAAGCTGAATACTATTTGCAAACCAACAACAATCATCGTTACCGGCAAGATCAGACGGCAGATTGCGACCGATAGAGATTCCAGAATCGTCGCAACTACCAAATCAGGTACACGACTCTAATCTAGGAACGATCCAGAATAATTCCGTTAGGTTATTGGCCAGGTCACTCAGATCTTGTGAATAAAGAGAGTATGTTGAAGAAGATTGAGATGCCAATATTCGACAGAATTTCTCCGTATATATGGATCGCGGATGTCAAATAGTTCTTCTAGTTAGGAAGATATGACGAGAGGCGAAACTGGATTTAGTCGCTTTAACATTGACTGGAAGAGTGAAGAAATGGTACGTTTGGGCAAGAAAAAAAAGATTTCATAGTTGGAGAGATTTACTGGATAAGATGTTGCTCAGATTTGTAGAAACATTGGAAGAGGAACCTGAAAAACGCTTATATTCGATCAAACAAACTGGTTTTGTGAAAGACTATATATATGAATTTGAAGATTTATCTTTGCAAGTGCCTGGGGTGGATGACAAAGGCTTGGAAGATATCTTCTACAATGGTCCGTCAAAAGAAATGAAAGAAGTGATTAAGATGAAGGAACTAAAAAGCCTATCTAATCACATTGCAGCGGTCTTAAAAATGGAGAATAGTGTCTTTTGCACGGTAGTATGTGATTCTACGAAGAAAGATATCGTCTCGTATGAAGGGTCAAACGCAGTATTCCAACATGAAAACACAGGCTATAGTACCATTTCGTTCAAGAACCTTAACTGGTGACAAAGTGGAAAATAAGGATCAACAACAAAATGGTACACCACAGCTGAGACCAAAACAGAAATTCACGGATGCAGAATTGATTTGAAACATAGCTTGGGATTATGTTTCAAGTGTGATGAGAAATGGTTTAAAAGACACAAGAAGGGCTGTTCCAAGAGGGAGCTGCAAGTGTTAATGGTACTGAATGGATTTGACGTAGAAGTTTTAGATGAAAACATGTTTGAGTTGATGATAGAGAAGGAAAAAACGCAGGGTGGTGAATTGATGCACCTATCACTCAATGCTTTTCTGGGTTTAGCATCTCTAAAAAATACAAAAGTCTATGGTCAGATTGACAAAACAACGTGGAGGTCATGTTAGACAGCGGTGCTTCACATAACTTTATTGCACCATCTGCTGTTCACAAGGCTCATCTCAAGACTTCCTAGAGTCCCATTTTGGATGTTTTGTTGGGGAATGGCTTACAAGTGAAAGGGTTAAGAGTTTGTCATAATGTGGCTTTCTCCTTAGCTGGTTATGAATTCTCCGCAGATTTTATATCGTTGGAGTTGGGAACGGTAGATGTGGTTCTGGGGATTCAATGGCTAGAAACACTTGGGATGTGTCATATGGATTGGAAAACACAGGAGTTTTCCTTTCTACATCAAGGAGAATGGATCATGTTATATGCTGACTTATCATTGCATTCCCATAAGTCATCTCTAAAATCCTTGACGAGTAAACCATCGGTGAACACTGAAGGATTTACACTGGAATTTGGTACTCAACAATGATCTCATGTGGAGGTGGTAGAAGTTCCACTGATGATTAAGGAATTGCTTGATGAATTTGAAGGGGCCGTCTTTGCAATTCCGACTGAGTTACCACTAGTTCGAAGTCACGAACATGGGATTGTGTTGCAAAATGGAAAAGAACCAATAAATGTGAGACCTTATTGATACCCGCAAATGCACAAAGAAGCAATGGAAAAGATGTGCAGGACATGCTTAAAGCTGGTATGATTAGGCAGAGTGTAAGTCCATATTCGAGTCCAGTATTATTGGTGAAAAAGAAAGACTCGAGCTGGAGATTTTCTGTGGATTACAGAGCTTTACACAGAGCCACTGTTCCTGATAAATTTCCTGTTCCATTAACTGATGAGCTACTGAATGAGTTACACGGTGCAGTGCTTTTCTCTAAATTGGACTTACAATCTGAATACCATCAAATCCGCATGAAAGCTGAACATGTGGATAAAACAGCATTTAGAACTCATGATGGGCACTATGAGTTCCTGGTTATGCCGCTTGGCTTAACGAATGCCCCAGCCAACATTTCAGTCATTGATGAATGATCTGTTCAAAAAATTTCTGCGTAAGTTTGTGCTTGTATGCTTCGATGACATATTAGTCTCAGTCGCAGCTTAGCAGAGCATCCAGATCATTTACGAGTGTTGTTGGAAATTTTTGCTGCAAACCAATTCTTGCTAACAAGAATAAGTGCCTATTTTCTCAACCTTAAGTGGAGTACTTAGGTCACATAATTTCAAGCCGGGGAGTCTTACTGACCCAAGCAAGACAGCGGCTATGAATAAGTGGTCCACACCATGTATGGTTAACGAGTTAAGAAGTTTTTTTGGGGTTAACCGGCTACTATAGACGTTTTGTCAAAATGTACGGAAATTTGGCTAAACCTCTGACAGAATTGCTGAAGAAGAATAAATTCCAGTGGTCGGAAGGAGCTCAGTTGGCATTCGAAACACTTAAGAAGGCAATGATATCAGCACATGTATTAGCTCTTCCGAATTTTTCTGAGCAGTTTGTGGTTGAGACTGATGCCTCAGGATTTGGCCTAGGTGTTGTGTTGATGTAAAATAAACGGCCGATTGTTTATTTAGCAGTGATTTAACTCCAAGAGAACAACTTAAATCAGTTTACAAAAGAGAATTGATGGCTATTGTGTTATCCATTCAGAAATGGAAACACTACTTGTTGGGAAGAAAGTTTGTGGTCCATACAGATCAACGCAGCTTGAAATTCTTATTGGAGCAGCGTGAGGTTACAATGGAGTATCAGAAGGGGTTGAATCTCTTATTGGGATATGATTTTGACATTGTATACAAACCAGGGATAGAGAACAAGGCTGCTGATGGGTTATCCTGTTGTATGCATGCACCATTGGAGTCGGTGAGTTCTTTCTTGGTATTAACCATTACATCGGTCCTTCAGCTTCAGGATGTGTTCAAAGAAATTGGGGAAGATGATCACATTTAGTCGATCATAACAAAGATAAAGGCGGGTAAAGTGGTTAAAGATGGTTATACTGTGATTGATGATAAGTTGTGGTGCAAAAGATGTTTGGTAATTCCTTCTCAGTCTGCATATGTACCATTGCTACTTGCAGAGTTTCATGAAGGACCTTTGGGTGGACATTCGGGTGTGCTCAAAACTTTGAAGAGGATTCAACAATCTTTTCACTGGAAGGGGATTCGTGAATCAGTACAAAAGTTTGTGGGCAAATGTCAAATATGCCAGACTCATAAATACTCAATTTTGTCCTTTGTTGGTCTGTTACAACCACTACTGATCCCTAAAGCCATATGGAAGGACATAAGCATGGATTTTATTGAAGGACTTCCCTTGTCTTGTGGATTCAATGTTCTTTTTTTTTGGTAGTCGACAAACTAAACAAGTATGCTCATTTTATTGGCTTGTGACATTCCTTCACCGTGACTGATGTGGTAAATAAGTTCATCAAGGAAGTTGTGAGATTGCACGGATTTCCAGCTTCAGTGGTGTCGGATCGGGACAATATTTTTGAGTAATTTTTGGAAGAAAGCTTTCAAACAATCTGGAACGAAACTGAAAATATAGCACGACATTTCATTCTCAAACGGATGGTCAAACAGAGGTATTAAACTGATGTTTAGAAACTTATTTGAGATGCCTGGCTTCTGCTCATCTAAAGACATGTGGAAATTTTTTGTCCTGGGCCGAATTGTGCTATAACACCACCTATCACACGGCTTTGAAGGCATCTCCATTCTTGGTGGTATATGGTCATGAACCTCCGACCTTGGTGCGTTATGAAAAAGGATCAACGACTAACTTTTAGCTGGAACAGATGATCAAGGACCAAGATATGATGCTGCAACATATCAAAGAACATTTATTGCAAGCTCAAGATTTGATGAAGCAGCAGGTTGATAAGCATCGCCGTGAGATTGAATTTGAGGTGGAATCTCATGTATTTTTGAAGTTAAGACCACACAGCCAGGTCTCGGTTGCAAGAAGGACTTGTCAGAAGCTTGCAGCTTGTTTTTTGGACCTTTTGAGGTGCTTAAAAGAATTGGTAAAGTCGCCTATCGTTTGCCATTACCTGATGGGTCCAAAATTCACCTTGTTTATCATGTCTCTCAACTAAAAGTAGGTTCTTGGGAAGGATCACCAGGTGTTACCTTTACCATTATCTTTACCTGGAACTGATGATTGGTTGATTGTTCCAGAGAAGGTTATCAAGTCACAAACTAATGTATATAGTAAACTGGAAGTGTTGGTGGTTTGGAAGGATTAACCATCACATGAATCAACTTGGATGTTAGCGGAGGAAATTTTGGCTCAGTATCCTACCTTTAATCTTGAGGACAAGATTCATCTCGAAAGGGGGGGGGGGTATTGATAAGAGTGGGAAACCTTTGAAAGTATATGAGAGGTAAATGTGGTAGAGTCAGAAGAGAATTTGAACTGTGAACACTCACGAGCGCGTGGAAGAGAGTAGAGTGTCACTGTTTAGTATAAGTAGCTAATTGTGTTTAGTGATTTGGATTATGTGTTGGTTGTGTGTTTACTCGAGCGTTATGAGCTTGATTATCTTTCTGTTACAATCGTTATGAGGTTGTTAGCAGAAAGATAAGATGCACAGTTCTTCACTTCCTCTTGTAATTCTCTTTTCAATATCAATACAAGGAAATTCAGAGTGAAATATCAAGTGAAAGCTAGCTAAGTTCTATCAGATTCATTATCTCGCCTTCACTCA